TATATTGAAATTTACACCAAAACATAAGTATGTAATTCATATTATTAGTTGGTGTTTATATCAATACTGAATACTGATAAACCTTGGGATAATGTCTGTGTAAATAAGTTATCTAGTGAATTAAGAAACTAAAATAGAATATTCTGTGTAATTAGTTTATGAAAACTTTCAGCTTCTAAACCGTAAATAGCTTATAGATAGGTACTCGCYGTACTCCATTACCGAAACGTGAACATATTATCGAAGGAATAATCAATTAAAATGATGGTACTAATTACAATTCGTATTTTTTAGAAGTATATTATTAGGACCCAATTCTCCAGAGAACCACTGAACTAGTCAATAGATTATTATTTCATTTATAAACATATACCTTCTTATTTTGAAAGCCGATTTTTCTCCACCATGTCGCTCATTTAATGGTTCTGTCCCAATAGAAACKACGGTGCCGTGGTTATCTATGCAAAATGGACATCTCCATAGCGATTTTTGTTTATCCGAGTCAGTTGGAGATTGAAGGCATTCAAAATGGTATTTTTTATTACATTYATTGCACTTTAATAGACATGTCATCTATATGTATACAACAAATTTTATCTTTATTTGAAACGTATAAATATATTATATATATTTACACGTCCTGCAGATACTGAGCATGGCGGTTCCGATGCACATGTCCCACAATCGTAACAGAACCACTGAGAACCAACTTTTAGCAATTCAGCCCTAGATCCATAAAAAGCTGTCAAGCATGAACGATGTAACGAAAMCCCACAATGGCCTGCACATTGATACAGTGGTTCCAGGTCACCCGACAAGTTTTTGGCCGACGTAGACATGCAGTTCTCGCAGAGGTCTCCGATAGCCTGCAATTAAAATCGCAATACGTAATATTTATTTTGGAAACACCGCAAGAAATGGGTAACAACGAACCTTTATCATCATGTTTAAATTTTTCCCTCGGCACTTATTATCCTTGCGTGACGGTGGCCTTTTTCTTTTTCTCCCAGATCCTTGGAGCGAAAGCGAGATTGTTGCATTTTCAAACGAATCCGATTTAATCATTTCGGTAATTGTTTCTTGTATGCTTAGCCCGCTAAAAAACAAAAATAAAGTTTTATCGTATGATACTGATCAACATTAATTTGTTTGCTTTGCGTGTCTAGTTTCTATGACATTTAAACAATTACTCATATTATAATAGTTTATAAGTTACTTTACATACGAAATAAAAAATAACAAAATTTGGTAGTAACAAAAGTATTTTTAGATACTTCAACAATATTATAAACTATAATAGACGTGTTCGCAGTGTATTATCCAAACAGATTTTATTTTCTAATCAATAAAATTAACTTAACTTTTAAATGAAGTACTAAAATTGAACAGTTGGTAAGAATTTTTATGGCGCAAACCGATTCCTAAATACATTAAAAAAATATATTTCATAAATAGAACCTATTGAATTAAAAATGATAACTTGTTCACCGCAGTAAGTACTTATTATAATAAGTTTATTTTAACTTTGAAAGTAAGCAAATAAATTGTAATAACAATTAAAACTATTGATACATTTAATTTTGGTATTCGAACAAGGTAAGAACATCAATTAATAATATCATATATACGAAACGAAATWAAACGTGTGTGTGACTTGTCCTTATGCACAAACAATATATTATATATAAAAATAACTATAACTTAGTCAGCCGTTTCTCAAAACACAAATTATTTCTGTTATGACTTGAATCAAAACGCATATTATGACAATAGATTGATAACAAATGATGGATGCATTACAATTTGACCAATTGATGCGGCACAAAATGTCCTTCAAAGTTCAAAATCGACTATTTGCATTAAAATGATCAAAAATGGACTTAAACCCTTTCTCCCAAACACCTTCCAAATCTATGTTCCTGTCTTTCGTCGGTCGTGTTTTAAGGAGAAAAATATAGGCAAATTGATATTACAGTATTTTGATGTGACTAGTCAAAGTAATACATTTAGATAAACTTAAGCGCGTGTGAGAGTCTAATCTGAAAATGTTACCACCCATTTGTATGCACAGTATATTGTATTCTCTCCACTCAAAGCAATATAAAACTATAAAATAGCATCTTAGAAATCTTTTGTCATAGGTACAATTAATCTCATAGAACTCAACAAGTGATCGTAAAAAAATATCTTTTCGGATCCGTTCAAAGTTGCGTCGTGACTTGGGAATACTACAGGGTGGTCATCTTTCAACTCTTTTATTCTCTTTTTGCAAAATAAATGATATTTTAATTCTTGAATGCTAAATGTTTATTATTTGAAGATCTTTTTCAATCATATAATAATGCATTATTCTATTAACATGTATGAGAACTGTCAAATGCGCTACAAATCGYCATTGATAGATTCTACTCGTTTGGTGATACGCTATAATATGCTTGAAATTAATATCAATAAATGCTGTCAGATGTCATWATTACTCGAAGGAAAAAACGTATAATAATAAATGTGAAATGGTACAGTATTACATAATAACAATAATAATTATGTATAACCATCGATAATTTATTTAGAAGTAATGTCATCATAATAACCGCTTTTTTTAATGACCACATGGACGTGATTTGCAAGAAAGGTAAACATAAACGTCAGGATTTCTAATGCGAAAGATTTACTGTTGAGAATTTTCCAGTACAATATATCAATCGAGTTCCACTTTAGGTACTGATTTTTAGTCTGTTCTGTATTAAAGTACAATATTAATATATTTTATTTATTTCATATAGCTTTTAACACAAATCAAATCTAACTAATACAATACATATAGCATTATATAAATGTAAAGATAATATAATGTATAACTTTATAACTTTA